GCAATAGCTCGCAAAGGTACCCCAAGCGCCATCGTAGAACCCCCCCCCCCTCCTCCCCGACTGCCGACCCCAAGATGGCAAAAAAGACGCAAGAAAAAAATGATTCGCCATCATACTAGAATCAGTCAAAACTTTGACACTTTGACATACTCTTTATGTTTCCGTCTGCAGGCCTATACAGCAGGTGAGCCTGGCAGCCCCGAGGAGGCGAGCGCACCAGGCCATAAGGCGATGAGCGCCGCGCTCTTTTGACAGCGCTTTTGGCGGGCACGCGGTGCGCTCGGCGCGCGGCGCTCAGAACTTGGTTGCGTGGTTGCATTGTGTTGGCCAACCTGTCGGCCTGGCCGGGTCGGGCCGAGCCGAGCCGAGCCGAGCCGAGCCCGGCCGAGCCGGGCCAGGCCGGGCCGAGCCGGATGGGCAGCGCCAGACACAGAGCGGCTCGGAGCGCCCCGGAGCAGCCGCTGGAACCAACTGTTTCCGGTCACTCGAGCTGCTCCGGGCACGGCGAACGACAGTGGTGGCAAAGAAGGGGAAGGGGGGGGGGGGGGGGGCAACTCTCTAGACACACACGGCACTGACAAGTCCGCGGGAACCTTCCTCGGTCGAAACTTTGGAAATTCGAAGGAGACCTACGAGGACAGGGAATGCCGCACACATCTCAAATTTCGGAGCAATACCATACAGACCATTGGAATTGCGCATAACTTACGGACGTTCAAAAAAGTGCACCAGTTTTACTTCCACGACGACGTCCCTCCTCGACCCATTCCAGAAAGGAGCAAGGAACATCCCCTTTCCCCACCTCCCGCGCAGGTTCAGCGACCGAAAGCTGAAAGGTGTCTGATTAAGGGATCCGCCAGAGAGTACGTCCATTTTTCTCTCAGAATTATTTATCAGATTACGGGAGCTCGGCGCCTGCGAACCTCTGAGTAGGCCACCCCGCAGTACAAGCGTGCACTGAAGGCAAGATGTTGCCTACCTAGCAGGCGGTATGAGAGCATGCACAGGCTGAAGACGGCTGGAAGGACGTGTACTTTCAGGATGATTCCTAACACTTCGGCGACACTTCGGCAACCCAACTAAGCGGAATGAGCGAGGATGGGTTTTGAATGAGAGGAAGAGGATTAGACGAAAAACGAGAGGTGGGAGGAAGAACACTGAGATGAAGGAGGACAGAGAGGAGGGGGAAGATGGCAGGAGGAGCAGCAGCCTCGGTGGCCGCCTTTGAAAGAGATCGCCCGCCTGGAAAAAAAATGGCGCGCGCAGGAGGGAAACTCTGATCGGGTTCGTAGAAGACTGGGCCGTCGTGTGATATAATAAAGATAAAAGT